CAGGGCCCTGCCCTAGAGAGTCTGGCAAAGACTGTCTGGGCGGGGCCGGCGAGTCTGTTTCTAATAAGCTGCCAGGCGATGTTGCCAGTCCCAGAAGCAGGGTTGGCGTGGCACTGCTCTATCAGATGGGACCTGTCAGCCACCAGCCTCTCCTCCACTTGCAGAAAGCAGGGAGACCCATCAGCTACCTGGTGCCCTGCAACTGTAGTCAGCACTTCAACATCACTGTCAAAGGGACACTGAAGAACAAGTGTCTCCCTGGCCCGGTGTCTGAGGCGGGGTGCCCTCCCTCCCGGTCAGCCCTCTCTCCTTTCAACATTCCCGTCTTCTGCTAGGATGGGAGGGAGGGATCCTGAGCGGCTAGAAGAGACGCAGAACTGCCGGTTCACTTGTTCTGAATGGAATTCTAGAGGGAGCCGGGCACAGGAGCCCGCAGGCCGGCTGCCTTCATTCATTGTGGCGTTCTCGTAAGGCCTGCTTCTGACTTGAAGGTTTACAAACACGCCCGAAATGTTTCTTAAATTAAAAATCAATCCAGCAGGCACAAGTCAGCGAGCTGCATCATAACTGGATGTGTGGGATGGAGTGGATGTGGCTTCATGAATTTCTAGCGTCCTCATCAGCTCATGGTGCTACTGTATGATTTCTGAGTGTGTCCCGCTAAGCGTCTCTCATCAGGGCTTGGAATTCCTTGGGTTCTCCAAAGGACTGTCCGGATGACAATACCTGTCACAATGTGTCAAGGGTATCGAGTGTCTGCTATGCTTGGGATGTGTGTGCTTTGAAGGGGGGGCCTTTGTGCTCAGTGTCTGTAGCAGACCTGAGTGGGGCTGGGACCTTCTTGTCCATGGGCTGCGAGGGAAGGTCCTTCCGGGGTCATCTGCGACACAGGCTGGGAGGAACTTACTCCTGGCAACAGAAGGAGGGGCTGGGTTTTGCCTCTGTCCTCTCGTTGATAACAAGTGTGTATAGAAGGATGGGTTTGAGTCGTTAATAACTAAAAACATTTTCCTTCTACTTGTTTGTAAATTCCAGACACCAAATTCTGTATACTTTTTATATGCCAGGTACCATGGACACACTGTACAGGTATTTCTCATTCAATCCTTGGAACAATCTCATAGAATCTCACCCACAGACTGGACAGGCATCTCAGATACTTTTTATATGCCAGGTACCATGGACACACTGTACAGGTATTAACTCATTCAATCCTTGGAACAATCTCATAGAATCTCACCCACAGACTGGACAGGCATCTCAGAGGTGGCTCAGAAAATAGAATGAGTCAACTGAACTGCCTTCCTAATTGTGAGATCTGACTAGGGATGAAGGGACAGGTGGGAGGGTGGGAGGGGGACATGTGGAACAGGCAGGTATAGCAAAGCTGTGTAGCCCTGATTGAGTGACCTCAGATCTTCAAATCCACTCACTTCCTTCCAGCCAGAGAGATGTTTCCAAAAATATAGATTAGATCATACATCTTTATGTAAGTATCTTTGGTAACTTCTTAACACACTTAGAATAAAAACCAAATATCTTATGAGTTTCTAACGTTCTCTAATCTTTTCTCATGCTACTTATCTCCAGTCCCCTGCTATGCTGCAGCCACCCTGGTCTTCTGTGAGGTTTGAGTATATGAGGCACCTTCTCCACCACAGGGCCTTTGCACTCACATTTCATGTGCCAGGCAACTCATGTGCCTGACTCCTTTTCTTGTCCTCCAGGTCTTTACAGAAATGTCCCCTCCTCAGAGAAACTTCCCCTGACCACACTGCCTAAAGAAGGTCCCCAACCTGGCACTGGTATTATCTATCCCAGTTCTTTCAAAGCACTTATTACAATGACAATCATTTTATTTAATTGGTTATTGCCATTTGCACCACTAGCCCCATATTTTCAGCCACAGCTGCACACTGCAAGCTTAAAATGCCAAGTGTTTCACCTGCAAAGATTCTTATTTAACTCATCTGCAATGAAGCCTAGACATGGACTTGTTTTAAAAGCTCCCCATATGACTCAGTTTGTCCCTGGCAAAGGTCGAGAACCCGTGCATTGGACTGTAAGCGACACAGGGCTGGGCTCAGCACTGTCCGGAAATGCTTGGTGAACGTCTGCAGCATCACCACACATATAAGTAAAGAAACAGCAGCTGCTGTCCAGGGGCGATGCTGGCTCCAGTCTACACATGTCCCCTTTTCCTTGGGTAACTTGAGTAGGACTCTACCTCTGAAGAAGCAATCCCTCTCTCCACGCTTAAATAACAGCAACAACAACGAAAGGACACGAGCCTTTGGTTTTCAGTGCTGGGGAGGGCACGAGACACTGGCTCTGCCTTGCCAGTCTTCAATAACCAAAGCCTGGGACACCATCTCCTCCTCCTCAATTTGACCGCCTGGGCAAGGGCAGCAGTGTGGGGTGGGGTGGGGTGGGGTGGGGGAGGGGAGGATCTGCCTTACCTGTCCATGGAGAGCTGAGCCACCAGGGTGACATCCGTGTTGTCTGCAGCAGGCTCGTACTCGTAGTGCAGGAAGTACAGGTGGGTGCGATGGACGGTGAAACGCTCCCGCCGGAACTCGTAACACAGGTCGTCCTCATCCAGCTCAGAGAGCTGCTTCTGCAGCTGGAAGGCAGGAAAGGGGGCTTGGCAACAGGAGGAAAGCTCTGAGGGGCCCTGAGCCTGCCTGCTGTTCATTACTTATTGGGACACTGTTGATGGGTCAAATACAGGCAGGGCGCATCATCATTTTTATCTCTCCCCGCAATTTAATCTAATTTCAAGTAGGTGATGAAGGGCAGATGTCTTCACCTCCTGAGAAATGAGCCGCCTCTTAGCGGAGGACGAAGGTGGTGCTCATTGGCGAGTGTGTAACCAACCATAAACTCCTTGGAAACAAACAAGAACTGTTTTCCTAGACGGCTTAGTGCATTTTCAAGTAACACGGGGAAAATGTTCAAAGAAGTAAAAAGCCAAAACTGAAAAGACCTGTGAGCTGCTGCTTTTCTCTCCCTAGAGCTACAGATTGCAATCTTTGTGCCAGATATTGTAAAGAAAAAACAAAACATCGATGAAACTCTGTTCCTTTAATTTCACCTAAGTTAATCAGTCTCAGCATCTACTTTTTTTTCTCTTCTCTTTTTTCTACCTCTCTGCAAGTCTTACTTCATTAATCTGCTTGCAGAAGTCCTTTAACTAGCTCTACTTCTCTCCCAACGTATCCCAACTAGTAAAAAAAAAAAAAAAAAAACAGGCTAATCTGCTAGCAGGAACCTAAGGAGTTAGCATTTGTGACATGCAGGTTCAGATAGATCTGCAGCTGCCCAACACGCACTGTCTCACAGACACCCTGCAATAAATGAGCACCTCTAGGCAGGTGTGTTGACGCCTGTTTTAAAGATGAAGAATTGACATTAAAAAGTAAAACAAACAAAAGTAAAACAAACAAAAGTAAAACAACTTGGCAGAAAGCTGATCTATAGTGATAGAACTTAGATCAATGGATGTGGGGTGGGGGAGTAAATGGACTGGGAAGAGGTGAGAGAGCTTTTGGGGTGATGGAAATATTCTGCATGACTGGAGTGATAGTTACATTTATGAAAATTTGAGAAGCTGTATAGGGAGGATTTATCATATATAATTTGCATTTCAGGAAGAATGACTTTTAAAAAATAATAATTGGGCTGGTTAGCTCAGTTGTTACAGCACAGCCTTGTAACACCAAGGTCATGGGTTTAGATCCCTGTACTGGCCAGCCACAAAACAAACCAACAAATAGCAAACAAAACAATTAAATAAATATTATTTTGCCAAAGTTCACATGCTGGTTCCAATATTTCTCCCATTACATCACCCTTGTCTATCCTATGATACCATATAGCTGAATATAGATTAAAGCTTACTTAGGTAGAGTTACCAACCTAGCGGAATATAGTAGAACATTTTTCTAAGAAGGTATATTTTTTAAAACCTCCAAATCGATACATAGTAATCAACAAGAAAATACATAAACTTGCTTCTGTATAGCCTCGTGTCAGTTAAGACCCTTGCCTTGACAGATTACGCTACAGCATTATTTCTCAATATGTGTGCTATGGCAGATGACTGCATTAATAGTTCTGATTTGTCCCCCCCCCCCCCCCCCCCCCCCCCCCCCCCCCCC